ACTATAAATGATGATCCAAAGAACACAAAAGCACAAATATATGTGGTGAACACCCATCTGACCACATCAATTGGTAACTTGCAGGGATACAATTTTCATTCTCACGGGAGAATTATAAGATTTGTTAAATGCATAAATTACCTCACAATTAGGAAATACATTGTTGATTCCCCTTTCCACTACCATAAAACAACCATCAAACAAATCTCCCATGTGATTTTTGACACCATGGCTCCGCTAAAATGGAAATGCCAATGAAACCACCCAAGTCTAGGGCGCAACGGTAGCTAGAGTTTTTGCCAAAAGCTCCTAATGTCGATCTCACCCAAAAGGCCAAAACTATAACCCACAAGAAACCCTTTCTCTCTACATGAAACCACCCAAGTCTAGGGTGCAACGGTAGCTAGAGTTTTTGTGTTCCTTATGCAATTTCCACTCTCAACTCTTTCAACATTTGAGTTCTTGAGGCCATGCTGCCTCATCACTAACTTCAGGTTTAGCCTTTCTTGCATTCCTACAAGCATAACTGGTGTGTAATCTCGTATTACCAAGATTCCTGGCATAAGTTATTTTTATGAAGACATGCACATCCTCAAAAAGTTAGCAGTAGTTGCCCATACTTCTTAAACATCAATGTACTCATTGTGCACGATTCCAAAATTTTCTTCCTAGGCCAACCACAAGCTACCTAATAAAACTAACAAGCAGCGAAACGACCAATGTCGATGTCACCACTTTATATTAATCCTCTTCTAGAGTTGACAAATGATGTTGTTAATACCACTCAAGTGTTTCAACACTTTTGCACCCTCACATCTTCAAAGAATACAATCATCATGCCAAGTAATCCAATTAGTGAGGCATTTAGTTTGGTACAAGCTTTCAAGCTTTAGCCCATAAACCCACTATGTTTTCTCTCACTGCATTCAATTATACTTCATTCGCTAAATACAAGAAAAAAATAACTAAGAGCCTTTTTGTCCAATTCTTCCCAATCATTATCCTTCATACTTCCTAGTTTCTTGGAATTTTTTATGTAGTTCCTTACCCTTATTGTGCAAATGTGTCATGAACTTTGAATTTCCAAAGTTCGAACCCTTCCCTATTGCTGAGAATTTTACAAATCGGGTCCGGATCCACACAGATCCGGATCCGAATCCGAAAAGTATACATCGGATCTAGATCCGATTGGATCCACCTATACCCCGATAAGACCCAAATTACTATTCGGATCTAGATTTTGGATCAGGATCCGAATTTCAGATCCAAAACTTGGATCCATATCCGGATCCGGATAGGATCCGAATTTCGGGTTTCGGATCTGGATCCGATAAATTCTCAACCCTACCATTCCCTCCCATCAAACTTCATTACTTCAAATTTGTAACTTACCATTTTCCGTAAACTACTCCACACTTACATTGAGCTCTAATACCCCTCATTGGGAACCGAGACTCAGTTGATCGCCCCATATTATGTGGGCTCGCGACTGCAACAAACCCAACAGTTCAAATCCCAAAACACCAAACACCAAGGCAATATTCCATGAAATGAATTTGGGAGAAAAAAAACCAATAAAAGCAAACAAGGAAAACCCAAAAGTACAATGACACACTATAAACTGCAATTCAAAGACCATAAACACATAAATATACATGGTCCACCCTCATTAATTACATCTATGGCCATCTATCGATGTGATTTCATTACCACAAGAGAAGTCCAAGATTTGGGGAAATACATGAGTTACCTCGTAATCGGCAGAGCACGATTGATTCCCCATTCTAGTATCATAAAACCACTATTGAACCAATCTTTATGTCAACTACATCACCAGGGCTCTGGCTACAATAGAAATGCTGTTGAAACCACCCAAGAATAGGGTATAATGGTAACTAGGATTTTGCCATAAACACCAAAACCCTACCTTATAAGGTCCCTCTCTCTACAATGTGAGCTTTTAAAGCCTCATTCCAAAGCCCTTAAAAGCCTCATTCCAAAGCCCTAAAACAAGAGAGAAATACCATAGGGGTGTTTTTTGCTATCACCCATCCAACAAGAACCAAATGAAGAAAAGAACCAAAAAACAAACCAATTGATACTCATTATACTAGTTCCCACCATGGTAAATATTCCATAATCCAAAAGAAATATGAAATAGGGCACTCACACCCAACATCTACCATCCATATTTATCTAGGGACGCTAGGTGATGGGCTGTTGCCCACTTTTGTAAGCAGCCAGTTTTTTAGGGGGGTTGAGTTACTCAACTCCATGGCCTAATGAAGCATGGACAATGGATGTTTGTGTAAGAGTACTTCAATACTATACTCGTACAAAGTAGAGTATCTGCTCCATGCTCAAACGTACTAACCCCAAATATTCCAAACTCATATGTCTAATGGAAAAACAAAGAGAAAAATCACCGACTATAATAGTGTGCTCCAGCCGGAGCACCAAATTTGGTGCTTTGCTAACCTGAAAAACCACATTGCTGGTGTGGGAGAGACCTAGAAATTTCCTAGAACATTCTCCCACACCCCTAAAATAGATTTATGAAAAAAATAGGAATTGTAGACCCACATATGCCTGAAATCTATTGCAAATTTAATATCAAATCTGGATCATCCATTTCTGAGGGCAATCATGGAATAGATCTGGATTTTTGTGAGCTGCAAACTAAATCAAACTTTAAATCAATGAGTTCTAAGGGGGTTTTCGGGTACTCTTGCACCTGACATGTGGTTTTTCAAGTGGGTGGCACACTAAGTCTAGTGATAGAGCCCAAAAACACTATCATTTCCCTTAGGAAAACTATACAAAATTTTATTCCTTAAAAAAAAAACTAAAGGTACCGCAGTCTTTAAGAAGAGAAGATAGCATGATTCTAGAAATTGAAATACAGGAAGTGTTTCTTTCTAGTTCTTGAAACCAAGATAAAGACCAAGTTATGAAAACAAACCTTGCATTAGGGAAGTTACAAGGCTGAAGTGACAACCTCCGGTCACTACTGCAATCTAATCCAGGAGTTGGATAGGTGGCTGTGAGCAAAAGCAATCGCTTAACACAAAAGTGATACTATCAAAGAAAAGTTAAACAAAATATACCTGATACACGCTTAATGGTCATCTCTCTCTCTCTCTCTCTCTCTCTCTCTCTCTCTCTCTCTCTCTCTCTCTCTCTCTCTCTCTC